AATAGGCTATCATTTTGGAATGAGTCTCAACTTTTGGATCATGCAATTAGGAGACACTGCACCGAGCTTTTAGAAGATTTGCTTTCTGTATCAATTTTGATCAGTAAACACGGAATGGAATCACAAAACGGTCGGTCATTTCCAAAAAATAGTGAAACACCGAAAGTGGAACTCATTTCTGGCCGACTCTAATGCTCACAGAAATGCGTTCCTGGAATTCAGTAGCCAAAATTTTCGACATCCATGTTCTTCCCGTGCCAAGATCAAACCCAAAGAATACAGTTTCGTTCCCCGGCGCACTCATAGTTACGCCTTGATTAAGGGTGAAAAGTTTGCAGTCCAAATGGCCAATAGTTAATGCAATGTACCGGATTTTATCAAAAAATTTTGTCAAACATTTTTATGGTGTCTTGTGGAGCATAAAGGCGATTTTCGAAGGAATGAACAGACAAACCCCAGAAAATCGTTCGTTATAACAAAGTGTGAACCAAAAGAACATTCGTGAGCATAACAATTGCGTTACGAAAACGAAGCTACCAAATTTCTTTTGTCACATTCATTCCCACACGGCCTTGTTTTCGCTTTTGAGGGATCGAAAGAGAAAAATTGATTCTCTAGGTCAAATTTAGGTTTTGGTGGTTGTCTTGCTGTTTATCCGAGAAAAATTCGTCGTGAAACTTGAACGAACCACAGCTAACCACTAAAAATAGTTGTAGCCTTTTCATCCGCTAATCTTTTTGAAATAGACCAAATATGGGCAGAAACTGATCCCGGGTAGGATGCCAATCCACAGATGGATGCAACCTATCGATTAGTACCACGTGTGCTCTATCAGATCAGTCACCAGGCTATGCCGAAGAGCTTCAGATATTTCTTATATGGATCATCAACAAAATAAATCCTACCTCAGTACTCGGGGATTCGAACCCAACATGCTTGACACTGATGATGATAATAATAATAGTAATGATGATAATAATAATTATTATTACATTAATAGTGCTTTTCCTTGCTTATCGTGTGGAATATTTCTGGAGGGGAGACGCGGCTAGCCCAAGGCTGACAAATGGGGAAATGACCGTCGACGTTACAGTTCGAATCTACACGAGGATGACCGTTTGATCACCGTCTCTGATTTTAAAGGTTTTTGTGCTGGCCCAACTTTGCAGCACACTTGGGACAGCTGATCGATCCTATCAGACCAGATAAAAAGGTTTAATACTGGAAAGGGCACTTGCATTTTTCACATCTAAAAGTCCAGCACCGCGAGCCGGAAACCAACCGGCGACATTCCTCCTTACCGGGCAGCTATGGTAGTACGGTCAGTTGAGTGTGCATTTTCCGTTATATAAAATTCAGGATCCTCATGTCAATGATACATTCTACGAATGAAAAAGTTGATTGCACAGTAGTAAATTATTCAGTGGATCTTCGTTGACGAATGAGGATTTAATACTGGAAAAGCATCCTCCCGAGAAGGAGTTCATAGGTACTACTAATTCGCAGGTCATTCGCATTAAAAATAAGTCCAACCCCAAGCTTATTTTGTTCCCATGGACTGTGAAAACCCCATAATTACAGAGAAAAGTATTCTCTATGTATATTCCCGTCAAATGTGATGGGACAAAAGTGCATTGGGACCACACAGATGACTGGACGGAAATGAAAAAATGGTACTTCGAAAAACCAGACTAACAAGTGACAGACAAAGTGAAGGTAGAGAAAAAATGCATAGGCTTCTGGGCCATAATTTCGCGTGACATATAGTATATAACATGTATATATATATATATATATATATAACATGCACATAAAGTTGTTAGTGCTAGACATGTGGGTGGGCTAGAAAATTGGCGCGTTTTCGTTCCAAAATCCTGAGAAACGAGACCACTAATGACTGACTTCGGAGGAATAGTTTTCTATGGCAGTTGGTTTTTTCTTACCCAAAATTAGATAGTAGTAGTATTACTAATGGTGGCAGTTGCATTAATTGTAGTAGTAATAATGAAAGTAGTAGTAGTTAAAGTAGTATAGATTGTTTATTGGAAATTACTCGTTTATAGGTCATGAAGAATAGTCAAATGAAATAGTAACACACGCTTGCATTCCAGCGGTCCAGTTCACATGAAGGTCATTGTTATCTAGTGCGAGGATGCAATTCTGTTGTTTATATGCCCTCATTCATCTTATTGCTTTCGGTCCCCCTGAAATAAGTGTTCGTTATTAATCCACAACCGTCCGTAATTGCATTTTCGGCAATCAGCTACTCACTTGTTCCGTAAGTAGTGTGTACACCCCACCACCGTAGTATTATTATTAGTAGCTTTAGTTGTAGTAGTAGTGATAAACAGGCAATAATTATATTGCCATCGTTGATGGAAATCGCGATAGCAATGGTAACAAAGAAGTATGTTGTCTGTAAATAGATTTGAGTGTGAATCAGTATCGGACTATTTTGTATATAACAAAATTTTCAAGCTGTATTTCAAGTGTTTCCTCAATGCACCACGGGTTGATTACAATCCTCTCATAAATAATTCATACTCTGGTTAGTGTGCCGATCTATGAGCCCACAGGCGACAACAGAATCTTGTCTGCCCTTTATGATATTCCCCGGAAAGATTTAGAACAATCTGTAATTAGCCTGAACTATCCCGGATTTTATTCCGTTTTAGCCGACACCGCATTTTGGAGATGTGTGACGTGTTTAGTGTGACTGGCTTATAAAGACATTTGATTACTGTCATAATCCTTGATACTGGTCTGTATCCTAATTTATAACCAAGTTGAAGGTTTTTCCTGTGTTCGTAATGTTACCACCTTCTCTACCCCCCCCCCCCTCCTCCTCCTCACAAACACACACATACACAGGTACACACGTTCTCTTTCAAGCTATCATCAAAGTATACTGACGATGAGATGGAAGCGCCCTGGTCCTTCTTAACTTTTACACGAATACGGATCGTGGAAAGAAATGGTTTCATTCAGTCCTTTTTTAGTTAAAATAAAAGCTCTCATGTGCATCAAATCCGACCTGGTTTCCAATGGAAAACTATTACGTAACTGAAAAGCAGTACTACCAATCCTATTGTTTTTACGAGGGACAACTGATCTCTATTTGCTTCGTCCCTAGTGCCCAGCCGATGGAAGCTCACACTTACGGTTGTCCCAGTCATTCACCTGAGTTCAACGCGAGGAATGGTATCCTCCATGTTTGTTCGTGGCCACCTTCTATCCTGATTCGATGATCAAAACTATTCTGGTAAGATGGGTGCTCGTGATAATCGGTTGACCAAGAGATTTCTAGGACGAGATGAGTGTAGGAGAGAGAGGGAGAAACTAGTGAGCTTCTGGCAGTAACTGAATGAAAAACGAATCGTGAGTTGCCTTTTGGTGAGACTCAGCTAATAAACTTCTGACAAGTCATTCGCAACGTTTGGCAAGTCATTTAGATAGAACAAGACGGTTTTGTCGGAGAACAATGAGAATAGCCGGTCGGTTTCTATTTCGGGACCGTGCAAATCATCTTCAGTGTGATTCTCTCGCAATTTTATCGATTCAAGCCATCAAATGAACAAGGGAGATGCTTTCGGATTGATAGACAGAGTCTCTGAACTTATTAAAGGCAACTGGATGATCACAGGTAGGGCTAACCAAAATAGATACCACCCAGACTTTACCATCCATCTATTTGCTCTGAAAATCGATTTGTCACATCTTTTGAATAGAATTGATGATGACCCACCACAGGGATGCAATTAGCGGACTACTAGATGACACAACCAGAGGCGGTCGGTGCTGAACATGATTTCAGGATTTGATTCGAGCCCAGCTCACACACTCATCCCCACCTAAGTTTGACGTTTAAAACTACAACAACAGTAATCGTCTCCCGTTTCCTCCCGTTCACCCAGTAGACAAAATACCCCCAGAAAAAAACATTTTCAAACATTCAGAAATGCGTGCCTAGGTACTGGTCACAAGATGAAGTTACCGAAAGTAAGCTTTTTGCGCAACTGTTCCGTGCCTAATGAGAATGGTGAGATTGGTTTGTGGTCATGCTTTCTTCTATCTGATATGAGATGCACGCACAATACCTTTTCCGAAGGAAAGTTGTAGATAAACAGTCGACTAACCTAGATAATAAATAAATAGTAGTATGACAGTGTGCTTTGAAACTTTAAAGTTCGCAGTCTTATCGCACGACTGAATTAATCTAACATCGAAATTAGTCGAAGACCTTTCACAGACATGCTGAAGCTAACCGGATCGTGTTCTGTACCGGAGATCACTCTCTCAGCCCCCTACTTCGCCCGAATAGGTTACTTGAATGGTGCTTTTATTTAGCACGTTCGTATTACGGAAAACCATCCAGCTCAACTAATTGAAGTAGCGGACCGACTGGTCTAGTTCTTGATTATGACAGAATGGTAATGATAACTTCGACTAGTAAAACTGACCGATTGGGCAGCTTAATTTCTTGGTTAGGGTAAACGTCATTCGTCGATTAGAGACGTTAGGCTGCATGAAGAAGTGTCACGTGTATTTTTTTGCTGCGATTCTTGTCACATATCAGGCTAGATGTATCGTTCAATCGCCCAATTAAAATAAGATCAATTAAATGCTGGAGCTGAGCCGGAATTTGGCTGGTGGGTTTTCTTGACAAGTTATTGTCTTTCTATAGATTTCCAGGGGTACAGACAAAAACCTTATTTATAACTATCGGATTACTACAATCATAGAAGAATCAGAAAAGCTTACATCTTGTGGGAGCCAAAAAGACCCCGATAACGTGCGGGTTACGAGATCGTGGAAATTGGTTTTCCGATTATTAATCAACACTCTCATGCGGTTCTTCAAAATGAAAAAGTATTTTTCGTAATTTAAGAGTTTTGTAAGGGGGGGGGGGGTACGTCCGAATAGATGAGTTGGCTTCACGGACATAACAAACAATCCTAAAATCAGGGTCGGAGCAGGATATAAGTTATAGAAGGTGTTTTCTATTCCATGAACAGTGTGTCATCATAATCTGCGGGTTCATTTGACTCGGAGTTATCTATCGGTAACAAATACTTCCACAGATTCAAACGACAGATTTCATATGTTTCTAGAATTGCTTTGATCAATTCTGGAAACATAAATGACCACGAACGAAAGCGATGGATTTGATCCGACAAGGAAAACGAATATGCAACTGATCTGTGAGCCAAGTGTACATCAAACTGGGACTGTAATCCTGACCGACACGAAATTCGTTTCATGTGGGCCCCGTGAGCAACAAATGATTTATCTTCCGACTTGTAAAGATAACCCAGACTGCGGACAACCACAACGGAACACTCAGCAGCGTCATCGGTATCAATGCAAACACCCGTGCCACCGACCCCACCACCACCACCCCCACTGCCACCACTGCCACCGCTATCTAACAAACAACGGGGGCGGCAGAAGCCGAAACAATAATCTAATTGTAAACAACAATTTTCACAGAGCTTCAATGTGGAGAGTCGCATGAGACCACCCTGAGGTCAGGTTGGTGTTGCGAGACCTCATAACGCGGTAGGTCGTTGCCTGTGGGCGTCTGGGAGTTTACTTGTCTGAGAATTTCGTAATGTCTGTGTGACTCACCCAACACGTTTCAAAGGTGTGAAATGGTCAAGGATGAACTCGATTGTCACACGATAATTTTTTTTTTTGAATTTTGTCTGAGCAGTGGAAAGCAAGGAAAAGAAAAAGAAGCAAAAAAATTCTCTTAGTAAGAATGGAAATACAGATGAACGAACTGTATATGAGTGAATGAGGCCGGGATGATATAAAACGTTAATGTGTTTAGATGATGGTAATTCGGATGATTCGGATGATTCAGATGATTCAGATGATTCAGATGATGATTCAGATGATGATGATGATTCAGATGATGATGATGATGATGATGATGATGATGATGATGATGATGATGATGATGATGATGATGATGATGATGATGATGATGATGATGATGATGATGATGATGATGATGATGATGATGATGATGATGATGATGATGATGATGATGATGATGATGATGATGATGATGATGATGATGATGATGATGATGATGATGATGATGATGATGATGATGATGATGATGATGATGATGATGATGATGATGATGATGATGATGATGATGATGATGATGATGATGATGATGATGATGATGATGATGATGATGATGATGATGATGATGATGATGATGATGATGATGATGATGATGATGATGATGATGATGATGATGATGATGATGATGATGATGATGATGATGATGATGATGATTCGAACTTGTCAGATGATGTGGTGAAGCTGCTCGGCAATATCACGCGTCGGTGGATTTTTGATAGGATTGTGGTATCTTGTACATCCCACAGATTCTACCTTTTTCTTTTCACTGTATTGTACACGTTTTCTTGTTTTATCAATTTAATAAAGATACTTTTTCAACCAACCCGCAAGTGGCTACCGTGGATTGTTCCTTCTGCGTTGTTTGTGAGCTTTGTGAGACTTGTGGCAATAAAGACCAAACTCAGAATAGAAGTCAATGGAGTGAAAGCCGTACGGTCTATCAGCTGAACTTTCGTGTTCCTAAATACACAAACATGCCGTTCAGACAAACCAAAAAACAGTAAAAACTACAACAAACAGTAGAAGTGTACCATGAGAAAGCAAAATAAATAACATCACATCATTACCCTTTACCAATTATTACTCGCACTCTTGTTTGCCCCCCCCCCCCCAATCTTTGTTGTTGCTGTAGTTGTGTTGCACTTTGTTTGGTTTCAGGCCGAGATTTCACATATATTACGAGATACGCGCAAGAAATCCAACTAACCTAAGTGGAAAACTACTGAACCTTGATATTATCGACCCATAGTCATGAAACCCAATTCTCCGAGTACATATATCGGGCTATGTATCTTTTGCGTAAAGCTAATCAAGTTGACTGACAATTACAAGTGAAGGCAGTAAAAATCGAAGACGAATCCAGAATGAAAATGGAAGAAAATGTGACTTTTTGATAGAAATAAGCTTAACCACGCAGTCGCTCGCCCGACAACCAAACAAGTTGATGGCGCGTCAAAAAGAAAACAGAAGGCAGAAAAGGCTTGAACTATGTGTCACTTTAGTACAAGAACAAGAACAACACTGAGAACAAAAGCATTCTGGTAGGAATTATTGATATTTTGGGATCATGAAACTTTCCACAGAGAGATACGGAAATAGCGATGTCGCTGATTGGTGGATCTTCAATCAAACGTGTCTATCGGGTGTTACGGCAAGATATCGGTCGTTCCGAGCATAAATCAGCTTGTTTGCAAACAGCAGTGAGTGGTTATTCTGGATGACAGAACTGGTTGAATACTATGCGATTTCAACATTTTCTAGTATCTTATAATTATGCTCCAACATCCGTGTGGGAAAATATTGCGCCAATACGGTTGTCGTAATTGTTACCGATAAAATATTACTGTCAGGAATGCTTGTTTTTTTACGGAGACTTGGAAAGGGGATGAGATGGCCAATCACCGAGGAGTATTCACGCGTGTAAAACACACTTGACACAGAAAGAGCATACACTGTCGGGAGAATTGGCGATATTGTGAGCATGCAGTTTGTAATTACCTGACAGATTTACTCGGATCCCAGACTGATAGGACATGAATCATGTCTGATTTTGTCAACTGATTAAATAATGCTGCAATCGGTTGAATTGTTACCTGAAAACACATCATGAACTGACTGGTTTTTCCTTCATTTATCCCTAATTCCGTCTATTCTGATATAAACGAAGTTGTCTAAAAGCAAATCAGATGTATCTCCACGTGAATAACCCCCTGGCGAAACAAATCTTCAACAATTCCTTACGATCATACATGTTAATTGAATGATATATACCACCTTGATCTATAACTAATGAAATGCTTGATCGTGGTATGTATTCATTCTTTGAAATGGATTGTGACGTGTGCAAATGGATTACTTTTAACGGCTGAGCTTATATACCTCAGACGGATGATAATAACGTCGCTCTTTCCTGGCGGGGATACGGATTTTAACTATTTTGGTTACCTGATTTCACAGTCAAACGTCCTTTTACACGTTCTTGGATAGAATATTAGAAAAGCTAGTGTTATCCTTGTTCTTACTTAATTATTTAAAACCTAGAATCCAACCCATTACTATGCTAATTCAAGGTTCAAAATATAACTGGTCAGTTTTTATTGGATCCATAGCTTTCCAGTGAGGAAGTCAGTTCACCGGAACATATATCGCTCATTCCAGAGAGCTATCATAAACCCTGTCAAGGATTGTTCTTGAACAAATCTGAGTCAAAATTGTGTAGGAAATCTCATCCCCCTCTCCCCCAAGTGAAACCATGACTTTTTTGTTCATCTCTTGATGCCTGAGAATCTTTGGTTCGCCTGCTTACAATCGTCGATTTGATGTGTCTGTTCGGCTAGGTGACCAGTCATAGGAAATTCTATCTTGTCAGACGCTTTTCATGACCCAAGTGATACTAAATTGAAGCATTTGTTCCACGACTGCTATCAGAAGCGCCTGCGCTTGTAATTGTTGTCTGCTATCCACATCTCGAGAGCTGACCTCCCAACACAATGTGATATCACTGAGAGAACATTTCGGATGCATGAAATGGTAGAAAAAAACATTGAATTTGTTCACTTGAGAAAACATCTGCCACTTGGTAAACAACCGGTACAATCGAATTCCGACTAAGCTGACGTGTAGAACGTGAATTGCCTTCTTCCAAAGTGTGAGATTTTATCACCACCACCATCATCTCCACTCCACTCCACTCCACCCCACGCCCAGCCCCCGCCCCCGACTTGCTCGTCGCGCGGAATTCGTTTTCCGCCTAACTCCCCGAATTCAGGTAGTTATTGGCATTAGTCAATTAGCAAAATCCTCTCCTTCCTTCCCCTATTCCCGCAATCTCCCTGAGATCTGTTCTGTTTTGTTTTATTCCCTTTATCCTCCCCGACCAAGGCATCGTCGTACGAACCGCTTAAAAAGTAGCAAATTTTTTTTTTTGCAATATTTTCTCTCGTCTCCGATTGTCCAGTGCAAATTCGATTTGATCAACCGCAGACAAAGATCTGGCCCGATTAGGATCTGATAATAATCCATGATTATTAGTAATACATTAGGAGAAGCCGGGCACAATCACTTTTGTGTAAGCAACAACAACAGTTGGCTAACTGGAAACAAATTAATTAAACCAATTGAATTTTATTGTATTCCCCCTTCTTTTCTTGTCCTTTCGGGAGTAGATAATCAACGGACTGTTCCCTCTTGAAATTTGTCCAGTGGTAACGAGCCAGAATTTCTTACCTATCCTTATTGACTTCACAAGTCAACGGGCTATTGTGTTTTGCTTCATTTTTTTGTCTTTGTTTCTGAGTGGACTACCTCTTTTTTGTTCAAATTGTTCACCCGCCTTTACTCCTTTCCTTGGATCTGATTCACTTTGTTGGCATTCACGGATCTTCTAACCTTTTCAGTTGGTGAAACTGACCGGATCGCAAATCCCGTATGTACAAGAGTCAAAACATGTGACGACCAAATATGTGTTCCAAGTTGTCACCAAAGCCGAAACCACAGAATATCCCTAGCCGGTGTCATCATCTATCAAGGCCTTATGGACCGATGATCAATGGTCTCCGAGTGTGTTCTGATATTCTTATGCGTGCTATTTTTCACCCCGGTTAGCTGTTGAAGCTACATCACCACCGCCCTCTTTTGTCTTCTCCATTTCTTTCTTGCCCGATTTCGAACAAGCAGAGAGCGGTAATTCGCTTTGATCCGGTCACAGGGAAGTTTTTTCTCTCTAGACGATTGGTTATCTGTTGTATGCTGATTGGTTAGAAAGGATTTCTTCATGTCCACACTCAAGTACAGCCGAATCAGATTCACTTTTGGGAAAAATCAATACAAAATCAATAAACTGTCTCTGAAGATAGCGGTGATATTAGAGGATGTATTATCACCAGAACTATGATCGTGAAGAATCAGTACTGTTCATAATCTAAGTTCCTATAAAAGGCTGAATAATCTTGAGCTCTGAACTGATTCCCCAGTTAAAAAAGTCAAATGAAGTCAAGTCAGAAAATGTCTCAGTTCTTCCGAAAGGATGAAATGTCAGCATCATGCTCATCGGAGCGCATTCTTCATTGCATACCCTTTTTGTCATGCAAATATCTAGAAAAGTAATAAAAGCAATATTTGATTTGAGCAGTTATAATAAAGAAATGGCGAATTAAAACAACGCTCCTTAAATTGATCATTCAGGTAGGGCGCGACAGACAAAAGATGAGCAGCTGTCCGGGAGTAGGACAAATCGTAATCAAACCTGGTCGATAGGGAAGACACACGGGCATAGTTAAATACTTGGGCAATGGATGAGTCGAGTCTGACAAGAGATTGGTACAAAGTTTGTCACTTGAATAGGGAACCAGGCAGATTAAGGCGGCGGATGTCATTGGACTGTGATATAACTTTAATTGACCTTCACAAAGTGGCTAGATATTTCTTTCGAAAACTGGCACAAATGTCACGGGAACAATAAATGCGATATCGCATCTTGTGGGAATTGAGAAAAGCTTTTAATTACGTATTGCCACCGACTTTCAAAGGACTTGTGCACGGATGCCGCACGCACATCCACACACAGTATTATCGCGTGCGTTGTGTCGGATGAGTGATGGAGCCCGAACCATAAAATCGTCATTGTAGAGTTTCAAAGGTGTAGCAGTGTCGGATACCATTGACCCAGAGAAAGGAGAACTGAGAACAGTGTAAAAAAAACCGCTCGTTCGAATTATTATTGAATTAGATTCCGGTAGCAATATGTTGCAGCAACATGGTTTGTTAAGAATAAGGGGGCCAACTATAGTGCAAGCTAATTTCCACTTTAATCTCATTTGAATGGTGAGGAGTGTGTGTGGACGGAGAGTCCATTTGTAGAATCACAAGACTGTTCTTCGAAAGATGCATCATCGTTTAGTCAAGGACATCCTTCAGAGATTAAAATGATTAACCTAGGGTGGAGTGCTCAAGCATAGGGATGATCGGGCAGACGAGCACCGAGTACGTATACCTGATGAGCGGCAACAACCGCGAAAGCGGTCTTGTGCTTCCGGGGAGATTTTGTTCTCTCATCCAGATAGAACAACTTACTACTTGCATCTAATTCTCGAACATAAACAAGGAAAACGAAATAATAGTACGGCAAGATTTAGGTTCAAGACGATTTCGTGGCATCTTTGCACAGTGCTCACCGTAGACACAACAGATATTGCTATTTGTATGGTAGAGAAACCAGCGGAGTCGAGATTACAAACACATAGTCTTGATCAGGGTAAATTATATCAGATGGTAACCTTTGGCAAACTAGTAGAAAATATCCATCTTCAGGAGTTTGGTAATTGCTGATAAAGCTATATCGGGCTGACTAAGAGAGAACATTGCAGATCAGTTCCGAGATAGATCACAACAGACTGTTTCGGTTGGTTGAGGCGAAAGCAATCAAGCGGTGAAAGTTTCCTCTATGTTGACAGGAAGAACTATATGTGGTATTGGGTTTATCATGGCACGAGGTGGGTGTGTTTTTAACTTTGTAGCCTTTCGTATTGTTCATATATATACATATATGTCACAAAAGAGTCCTGAACATCGTGCTTCCGGTTTTTCTGATGTAATTCCTCTCGGGACTTGGGTGGCTCAACTTTCTGAAAATTTCTGAAGAACAAAATCATGAAAGTTGAGGTCATTATTTTCATCTTATCACATGGACGAAAGCTGATTCAGCAGCTGATCAGCACGTACGCTTTAAATTGGAGCGTATAAATGTTTTAGCATATGTATGGGTTCATTCCATGTAATTTCACTCCTTTACGCATGATTTCATTAGCAGATAAAGCCAAGCGTTAGTTATTGTTTATAGGTCATGCCAGAACAAAAAAACCCAGTTTGAATACAACTAAAGTCAGAGTAAGATAATCGACTTAGATGGTTCACATACTGTCGGATGCTCACCGCGTGCGAGTGTGTGTCTGTGCGTGACGTTTTGCAGATTGACTGATACAGGGCACTAGGTAGTCCAGTGTAGCCTGTTCCCAAGATCGGTCCGGCCCCTTCAAATCTCCTCCCAAACGGCCCCTCATTTATGTTTGCCATTGGTGTTTCACGTGGTTGCTGACTGGTGCTTTGTTAATTCTTAATCAAGATTCTTCCCGTTCCTATCACATATGGACCACTTCCCTGATATGATCGATTGGACTGCACGCGATTTTGTGTTTGACTGCATTTAATCGACTCCAATCTATGAAGCGATTAATGCTGCTCTTTGTGGAATTTATATGTGAACCATATAACTGTTTTAATATGGAGCCGTGTTGGGCCACCGCAATCATACACTTGAGGATTTCGGATTGCGGTGCACGTGCTTCAACGACCGCTAGGCGATCTGCACGGTTACGCAGAAATCACCTTAACTGTGACCATACATCTGTTAGAGGTTGGAGAGGCGCGCTGTTTTCGGGACATGCAAATGAATGTCTGACGACTTCCAACAATTAGTATCTCCCGGCACTAGGGTGAAACTTGAATGTTGACAGCCAGCCGGTCCGTATAATCCGGCCCCATACGAGCCTGATTCGATTCCTGTTTAAGTGTAGATGAATATACCCTGTAGGTCTAGATTCTTTACGTGCCGGCTGAAGTAGCTGCACAGTAAGTGATTTCACCGATTAGCATCAGTGAGTAGAGTATTACGGTGGCAGGACAAACCATTCTATGAATGCATGACCAAGGCGAGTCGGAAGCGTAAATCCCCCCGATAGTTAAAGGATTTGTAATTGACTGTCTGGAAGTGTCCTCGCACTCCGTTATGCCAACCAGAAACTGATATTTTGTCTTCTCATCTTTTCCATCTGTATAGTCCTCCGTGCTTTAGTGACAAAATCGACTTGGAGGAGATCCTAGGTTTTAGAACACGTAAATAGTCTTTCTAATACCCACCAAGTGGGATTTATCGTCCGTGTCATAGTCGCCTCAGAGTACTAATCCCGTAAACCTTCTCTCCCCGCCATGCACAGGTTCTTCTTGTAATCAATGGGAATTCAATTCACCCATGAATAAAATCAAAATGGTGTTTGTAAGGCCAAACTCTGAGTGGACAGATTTCACGAAAGCAGGTAGGGTGAGTGACCTTTAACGACCCAGGCACATGTTCTAACTGTGGTGCAATAAGTGGTTTTATCTGAAGTCACGCTGATTTGATTGGAGCTATCACTGCATCACTTATATCAGAAATAGTGTGATTCAGATTTTCATCGAATTACACCGAGATCGAACCCGCGCCAACTCATTTGGCGCACGTCAAATCAGTAAACTCTGCTCGCGAATCAGCTGGAAAATTTATGGCTATGGTGTGCCATCGAAGTCACAAGCAACCTGTTTTGCATTCCATCATCCGACCTCCGGATACATTCATTTTCAATTTGACATACAAATCAGGCATTCATATGATAGATCTTGTCATTCTATTAGACATGTATCGACAACCAGCTACGTCCAATGCCTCGTAAATGTCACGTCCATTAGTCGTCACTCAGTCGAAATAAAAGTACGAAACAGAAAATCAATTGATCATATACAGAACGTCATAAAGATCACGACTGGAGGTGATCAGCTGATCATCACGAAGAACAAAATACCCTCGGGTTCCGATTTTCCAACGCTGCCATCAGCTTATCATACTCGCCCATTGATAGCCTCTTGTCGGTTGCTCATCTGTTCAAAAAGTATCATACCGTTGTTGCACACTTAATAAAATCTACGAATTTTACTTATCTTTGGGTGTCTAAATACAATGAAGGCATTCCTTTAAACGACCTACAGAGCTTGATTACTAAATAATTAAACAGGAAGTCGTCCATCACAGGAGTTGCTTGCTTTGCTAACATTCAATGTCTGTTTCTGAAGGGGTACATGGATGTATGAGTTCCACAAAACCCTGAGACCGGTCCCGGATTGTTTTGAGGCTAAGGTACCAGGTCTGCGGTTGTTCGTTTCGGGTTCGAGCCCCAGCCGGGGGTTTTTGGACATGCGCTGCCGATGATTCTCAACAAGGGGAAAACACCTGGTTCTCAATGGCTTGGATATTCACACTGCATGACGAATCATATTGTGCAAAACTTCTTACTGGTTGCATCTCGATTCAAGAAATACTATGCCGTTGTTTCACAGCAAATACAACTTACAAATTTTAGTGTTATCAAGCTTGCAACTCTTAAACGAGTCTTCACAGTCGGTCGACCGAAAGGAGAGGCGCACTATGTTACCATCCACTTTCATTTACCTAAACTGTACCCACCGTATGGAACAGAGGACTTAGATGTTCCCGTATCACTAATCTGTCGGCCATTACTTCGATGGGTAGTTCTTTTTAGGAACACACATTTGTGACTATGTCCAAAGTCTCTGTTTGGGTAAAGCAACGCCTATTGGTACGCTTTATGAAAAGCGCTAACCTTCTGCAGACCACACTGTCTACGAAAGCGCGTACGGCTTTACGACTTCCCGGACGGAGAAGGTCATTTGTATAGCATAC